GGAAGGAAAGATGGAAGGCATAAAGAAAAGAGAGAGGGAAAGAAGGAAGGAAGAAATGAAGAAAGGAATGAAGGAGAGAGAGAAAGAAAGAGAAAAAGAAGTTAAAGTTTGAGTTTGGTCAAAATATTGTGTTTGAAAGTTTCTAAAATATGAGTTTGTTCCAAATGTTTTCAGCAGGAAAATGTAAGTTTAATAATGGACTCCAAATTTGAAACTATACATATGTTAAGCACTGTGCAGATCTGTGTCCTATCCATGCTGTTTCCAGAACTGGGCAATAGGTATCCAGCATGGCAGCACTGCTCTCTGATGAGCTCACCATGCTGTCCTGGCCAAGTCCTCTCCCCTCTAGCCTCAATCCTGCCATCTCAGGAGCAGCAACAGCATCAGGTTAGATGCTTCAGAGGGCTGCTGTACTCCAGTGTGGCTGGAGGAGGAATCCTTTTGCTTACCTGAATCTGTCTCTTCTAAGGAAATGAAGCCAGTAAGAGCCAGTGCCCAGCTGTTCACAGGACAGGTCCTAGAGTCACAACTGCTCTCCAGCATCCCAGAGGCTGCAGCCAGGCAGAGAGGTAGAGAAGAGCCAGACAGTAGGGAGTCCAAGCCCAGGAGCAGGAAGGCAGGACAGGGAAAGGGTGACAGGAGAGAGCAAGAACAACACACGGAGAGAGATAACAAGGCAGACGTGAGGGTTGATGCAAGCACAAAGGAAAAGGGACCAATGTGAATGTTGGATAGAGAGTAAAAGTGTGGGAGGAAAACAAAAGGGGAGAGGAATGTTATGGTTGATACATTGTGTCAACTTCGGGAGTCTAGAGGTTTGGCTAAATGACTCAGCAGTTGTGCATCTTGGGGTAAAAAGGACACGCCCTTACCCTTCTGGGATAGTGTTCACTGTGTCAATTTGAGAAGTTTAGAGGGTTAACTATGTGACTCAGCAAGGAACCAGGGTCCTTACTTTCTATTCATCCTGAGCCTGTGCAAGAGGAGGGCATGGAGATTATGTGAGAGCTACACACCCCCTGGGTGGGGGTAGCCTGCTTATAATGTAAGGGAGGAAAAGAGGCTTGCTCCTCTCTGCCACTCCTCCTTTTTCTCTTGTTGCTTTGCTATCTTTTGCCGCCATGAACGTTTGTCCTCTGCCATGTGCCACTCTGCCTTGGAGCCAGCCAAGTATGGACTGAAACCTTCACAAACTGTAAGCTAAATAAACCTTTTCTTCCTTAATTTTGGACATTGGGTATTTTGTCTCAGCAACAAGAGAAAAGTAACCAAGACAAAGAACAAAGGCAGGCAACAGAGCAGACAGGCAGAGGGACAAGCACAGAGAGGGAGAGACAAAAGCACGGACAAAAATGCACAGACACACGGCAGGCAGACCAGACAGAGAATGTGACAGAGAGAGAGAAGGGCCAGTGGGCAGAGGACAAGGAGAAAAACAGG